AGCAAGGCTACTAAGGAGAAAGGGGTGGTCCTACCAGGTGACTGTTGGAAGGGGACACTAGGGAACAAAAATGTACTACACACCCTTCTATTTTTTTTTTTTCTCAGCGCAGCTTTCTGATATACATAGTTATTGTATAGCACTGGTATATTGCTTAGCAAGGCTACTAAGGAGAAAGGGGTGGTCCCACCAGGTGACTGTTGGAAGGGGACACTAGGGAACAAAAATGTATTACACACCCTTCTATTTTTTAAGTAGATCATTGTAAATACTTAGCTATACAGCATATACTTGGTTTTTGCTTTGTTTTCATTAAAATACAGAGAGCATAATAGCACGCTGCTTGTGGGTAGAGAGGAGGGATCACAACATAGAGAGTTGGGATAATGTCATGACATATCCCCACCTGACATACAGTGTAGGAGTTATCAAGTTTTCCTTTGGGCTGAAGTCCCAAATCAACAATCCTATGCAGAAGTCTTCAAAATACTCACCCTAAAGATTTTTCCATGTTTGCCTCCAAGAGGGGTTTAACTTTAATCTGAGTTTTTTTTTCATATAATAAAGCTGGGGACATTGGCTACTATTTATCGTTAAAAAACACAGATTCTTCGAGCTGCAATAATTTTGGACACACACATATAACTTGCCACTAAGATCTGTACTGATAACCGATTAGCATTTAATTTGGTCACTTGATATATCAAAGTATAGTATGTTTCAAGTACCACTCAGAATAACTACTTCTATATATTTGCAACTCTAATAAACATATACAATCATTGATGCATTACATGTAAATAGATTTCAGAGATATTACAAAAATGCTTTAAAATGCAATCAGAATAAGTATGAGTATTTACTAAAGTATTCAAAGTGAATTAAAATTTTTCAGATCAAAATAGCCAAACTGGAATGTAACAGGCAATTACAACATTTTATATTGCCTATCCATCTGCCTGTAAGCAGTAGTTCCACTGGCTAAATTTCACCTTTGAGTAGCTCGGCAGTGAGGGCTTCCAAGTCGACAAGGGCATTTTGACGTTTTATAAAGCACTTTTAAAGGAACACTATACAGGGAGTGCAGAATTATTAGGCAAATGAGTATTTTGACCACATCATCCTCTTTATGCATGTTGTCTTACTCCAAGCTGTATAGGCTCGAAAGCCTACTACCAATTAAGCATATTAGGTGATGTGCATCTCTGTAATGAGAAGGGGTGTGGTCTAATGACATCAACACCCTATATCAGGTGTGCATAATTATTAGGCAACTTCCTTTCCTTTGGCAAAATGGGTCAAAGAAGGACTTGACAGGCTCAGAAAAGTCAAAAATAGTGAGATATCTTGCAGAGGGATGCAGCACTCTTAAAATTGCAAAGCTTCTGAAGCGTGATCATCGAACAATCAAGTGTTTCATTCAAAATAGTCAACAGGGTCGCAAGAAGCGTGTGGAAAAACCAAGGCGCAAAATAACTGCCCATGAACTGAGAAAAGTCAAGCGTGCAGCTGCCACGATGCCACTTGCCACCAGTTTGGCCATATTTCAGAGCTGCAACATCACTGGAGTGCCCAAAAGCACAAGGTGTGCAATACTCAGAGACATGGCCAAGGTAAGAAAGGCTGAAAGACGACCACCACTGAACAAGACACACAAGCTGAAGCGTCAAGACTGGGCCAAGAAATATCTCAAGACTGATTTTTCTAAGGTTTTATGGACTGATGAAATGAGAGTGAGTCTTGATGGGCCAGATGGATGGGCCCGTGGCTGGATTGGTAAAGGGCAGAGAGCTCCAGTCCGACTCAGACGCCAGCAAGGTGGAGGTGGAGTACTGGTTTGGGCTGGTATCATCAAAGATGAGCTTGTGGGGCCTTTTCGGGTTGAGGATGGAGTCAAGCTCAACTCCCAGTCCTACTGCCAGTTCCTGGAAGACACCTTCTTCAAGCAGTGGTACAGGAAGAAGTCTGCATCCTTCAAGAAAACATGATTTTCATGCAGGACAATGCTCCATCACACGCGTCCAAGTACTCCACAGCGTGGCTGGCAAGAAAGGGTATAAAAGAAGAAAATCTAATGACATGGCCTCCTTGTTCACCTGATCTGAACCCCATTGAGAACCTGTGGTCCATCATCAAATGTGAGATTTACAAGGAGGGAAAACAGTACACTCTCTGAACAGTGTCTGGGAGGCTGTGGTTGCTGCTGCACGCAATGTTGATGGTGAACAGATCAAAACACTGACAGAATCCATGGATGGCAGGCTTTTTGAGTGTCCTTGCAAAGAAAGGTGGCTATATTGGTCACTGATTTGTTTTTGTTTTGTTTTTGAATGTCAGAAATGTATATTTGTGAATGTTGAGATGTTATATTGGTTTCACTGGTAATAATAAATAATTGAAATGGGTATATATTTGTTTTTTGTTAAGTTGCCTAATAATTATGCACAGTAATAGTCACCTGCACACACAGATATCCCCCTAACATAGCTATAACTAAAAACAAACTAAAAACTACTTCCAAAAATATTCAGCTTTGATATTAATGAGTTTTTTGGGTTCATTGAGAACATGGTTGTTGTTCAATAATAAAATTAATCCTCAAAAATACAACTTGCCTAATAATTCTGCACTCCCTGTAGTGTCAGGAATACAAACTGGCATTCCTAACCCTGTAGTAATAAAAACACTATTTAGGTGACCGCCCCTCCTTGACCACCTTACAAACTGTTAAAGGACCGCTATAGGCACCCAGACCACTTCAGCTTAATGAAGTGGTCTGGGTGCCATGTCCATCTAGGATTAACCATTTCTGCTGTAAACATAGCAGTTTCAGAGAACTGCTAAGTTTACCTATGGGTTAATCCAGCCTCTAGTGGCTGTCTCATTGACAGCCGCTAGAGGCACTTCCGCGCTTCTCACTGTGATTTTCACAGTGAGAAGACACCAGCGTCCATAGGAAGCATTGAGAATGCTTTCCTATGGACTGCTGAATGCGCGTGCGGCTCTTACCGCACATGGGCTTTCAGCCGATGATGGGGAAAGGAGGCGGAGAGCCCCCACCGCCTGGCGGTGGAGAAAAGGTATGTGTTTAACCCCTTCCTCACCCTAGAGTATTATCAAAACTGATAATCTCAGCCAAGAATGTGGGTTGGCGGAGTCAAACACCCTGCTGGCAGATCAGCATCTTCTCATAGAGAACTTTTCCATGGGGAAAGTTCAGAACCTCCATGCAGAGCGTGGAGCTGCTGAATGTCACTGCTTCAAAAAGCCTGCAGGGACAGGCTGTAGACACTTGACGCTCTTCGCTGAAGCTTTTTCGAAAAACGCAAAAACGCATCAAGTGAGGATTTACTCTACCTACAGACTTCTTTTATGTTGTTATTTTATTTACCACAGAAAGCTGTATGTTCAGCATTTTAATATTAAATGAAGTATCTTTTATATTCACCAACCTGTGGAGTACTTACCTTTGCCCAGGTCCTGCCACTTATCCGGTTCCTGCATATATCCTCAGGTTGGGATTGTTCCACCTAAGGTTCCTCACACCAGAGCAGGTCCTTGCTCTGGGTTACGTAAGTAGGATAATTTCCTTCTATATTACCACATTTATATACATACCATACCTTTTGGAATTCTCTTATGTTTTTTTTTCATATGATGTTCATATAACCTTGAAATCAAGCTTGAAAGACCCTCTACTCATATTCATAGACAGGGATTATTCCATCCAGGCCTTCTAAATAAAGCTGACACAGCTCTATAAAGTGTGAGTGTTATTTTGACCCACATCTATTTCACTTATATTTATCCACTGTATTGCACTATTATTTGTTTCTTGTTTTTTATTAAAGATTTATGAATTAGAAGTTGGCTCTTCTTTCATTTGTATATTTAATTTATTCCAAGCGCTGTTCACCTATTTTAACTAAAATACTTATAATACTTATTTAAACAAAGCAGATAATTATAGTAGTTACTTATTTCAGCTTCAGTTTTGTGTTAACAACCCTTTGTTGAGTTAAAGAATATTTCGGTTATCTATTTTTTACATCAAATTGTTTGGTAAATAGACCTACGGACCATGTTGCTATGCTTATATATCTTTAATAAATATGCTTTATATTTTCATTTTACCCTACCAGGGAGGCATCAGAAACCATGAGGCTTTTAAAAAAACAAACATTTTCCTGCCCCCCCCCCCCCTCTTGCACACACTTCCAAATATGCACAAGATACAAACTCACAGACAGAAATATTGTACATTCCCAGGTACACACACCGAGATATCCACTCACAGATACACTTTCTCAGCTAAAGATACTCATTCTCAAACACAGAGACACACAGTTGCCAACACACACGTACACACAGATGCACATACATAGCTATACACTGCAAGACATACACTGCGAAACACACAGATGCACACTGCAGAAATAACTAAATAATATTTTACTTACTTTACCATACCTTTTGTTTGCTGGAGAGTGGTGTAGCATATTATTTTAAATGTTATTATTTTATAACATTTTACATTTTAATACATGTTAAATATATTATATGTATGTATGTATGTATGTATGCATTTTAAGATAAGGCCAGGGTCTAATGAAAGTATTTAGAAAATTGGGCAGACTAAATGTGCCAAATAGTTCTTGTCTGCCGTCACATTATATGTATTAAAAAATTTACGCAGCCATGTGGAGTTACTGACCAATAAGAAGAAAATGTTTTTAAGAGACAACAAACCAGTTGTATGGTAAAATACATTCTGATAGCAAGCTCAGTGAATAACCCTGTATTTGTTTGAAATTTTGTCTAAACCCAAGACGTAGGTCATACTCAAACTATATATATTGCTTTTGAATCCTAACTTGACTTTTGACTTTTGACAAACTGTTACTTGCCCCGGATACCCAGCTGTTAGTCACAATATGGGATTGTCACCGATCCTTTCTCATCTCATCAATTCGTGACAGCAATGACTAACAGGAAACAGCTCGTGTTACAGCGAACCATAAAATTTATTTTCAGCTTCCGTCACAGCACAGAAATATTTATAAAAGGAAGAATATGCGTGCGTTTATATAGCCTCTTAAGGAAAATAGAAATGGCACAAGAAGCAAAAAAACAGGGGTTTCCTGAACAAACGTCTCCATTTATCAGAGGAACACGAAATATCCACAAAGATTAAGTAAACAGTTAATATAATTAGGGAAATAAGCTGTCGGACTAGTCATCACAGGGACACTCATTGTTCTCAAGTTCTTGGCAAATGATGCATGGTGGGACTTCTCTGATAATGACAGAATCTGGGCGATACACCATGGAGTCATTTTCACACTGTGTCACGACAGCTTGATGCAGATCATTGGTATAAACATATCTAACAGAGTTATTCAATAATATGTGCATTGTCAGGAAGTTACAGGTCTGTGATTGGTTTTATCTTATCATAGATTAAAAGCTAATTTTTTGTGTAAAAATGTGTATATATATTTTTTCATTAATCCATGATATTTTGTATCTAATTAACTCAAACTGATACATATAGTAGATACACATATGTCAGACTAGTTCATGTCCATATTTGAATGTATACAATTACTTAGAGTAGAAGTAGGCAACCCAGATGTTGTGGACTTCATCTCCCCTGATGCTTTGCAAGCCTTGCAAGCTTTGCAAGCCTATGGCTTTAACAGCATTATAGGAGATGCTCGCCATAAGTGGAGTGTTTATGGTTGCCTATCCATGACTTAGCGCCTTTGAAAAAAAAATCTGTTAAGTGAAGAACTGAATCATTATGGGAATTTATTACCTGCCCGTTCGACTGTGATTTTACTTTACGCAGAATAGACATACAGGACCTACTTCATACAGTGCATTAACAAAATATATACATCATTATTCCAACGTTTTCAGCCTGTTTACATTAATGAAGAATGTAATGCTTTGCCATATGGGTAAACACAAATCTTGAGTCTTTTGTCATTAATGTATGAATTGGGTGAAGGTCTTTGTAGAGTGTCACATTCAGCACGTAGATATAGCATTTACGTTTTATGTCACTGTCTTTTAACTTCAAGGTTGGGTTTAATGCCTGCAAAGATAAATTAAACAGTTTAAATTAAGAATACATCAAATTAGCTTTGATGAACTATATTAACTTTTCAAAACTTGTGAATTTTCTTGCATCTGAAACCAGAAACAAATTGTATTTGGAGAAGGTGACACCAAATGCTATTTACTATCTTGTTTAACATGGTGTTGTTATTATTATTATTATTATTATTATTATTATTATTATAATTACTAGCATTTATATAGTGTCAACAAATAATGTTTAAAAAGCAATTGGATAAATACTTGCAAAAACATGATATGCAGGGATATAATTTTCAATCAGTAGGGTAATAACTTCATGATCCAAGGAGAGGTCTGACTGCCATTCTGGGGTCAAGAAGGACATTTTTCCTAGTTTGTTGCAAGATTTGAAGCATTTTTTGCCTTCTTTTGGATCAAGAAGGACATTTTTCTTAGTTTGTTGCAAGATTTGAAGCACTTTTCTTGCCTTCTTTTGGATCAACAGCAAAAAACAAATATGAAAAAGGCTGAACTTGATGGACACTTTTCAGCCTATGTTACTATGTAACTATATTCTGCAGAGCTTGACATTTATAGAATGGGGATATTTGATATTAGAATGCCATGCTCAAACGAGCTGACAATCTATGAGGGAGGGGTAAAGACACAAAAGAGAAATAACAACATGTCAGAGGGGAGTAGTGATTGATGGATAAGACGCTGTGTTGAAGTAAGCTAGTAAATTTGTGTGTGGACCAAACAAACAGAGGAAGGAGAGAAAGAGTGAGTTGGGCAATGAAGGTGAGGGAACTAATAAGGCAGCGCAATGAGAGAAGTGTCACCCAGGAAGATAGTAAGATTTCCTAATGAGGTGTGTTTTCAGGCACTTCTTAAATGACTGGAGGCTAGTGTAGAGTCTGATGGCATGGGTAAGGGAAATCCATAGGGATGGGGTCACCCTTGAAAATTCATGCAGATGAAAGTTGGCAGTGTGGAGACAAGCAGACGCCAGGAGAGGTCACTCGCAGAACGAATAGTATGAGAAGGGGATTGATTTGTTGAGTAAAGAGGAAATTTAATAAGGAGTAGAATTAGTAAGGGCTTTGCAGGTTAGTGATGGCAGTTTGACTTGGGTTCTGAAGAGTACAGGAAGCCAATGTAATGACTGGCAAAGGGGTGAGGTGTGGTAGTATCGGTCAGCCAGGAAGGTGAGATATAACTCCTTCTCTGCAGGAAACCACAGAAACATAGCAATTTTCTAGACATAATTGTGGTTTTTCATTCATAACTCCTATGTCTATTAAGATCTTACATATGATATCAGTCAGGATGTCTAATGGAGCCTGATATAGCAGGGATTCAACAGAGAGGTGTACTTTCTTCCTCAGACTGTAGATTATATTACCCCTTCTCTTAAATAAACACTATAAGGAGGGGAGTGCAATTTTTATATTCTAGCCTTCCCCTCATTGAGAAGTATTGTCAACTTAATGTACATGCGCAGCAACCACAGCAATGCGCCAATCAAAGGCTTCCATTAGTGAAGAACCAAGTCAGAATCGGTTCTCACTGCGGAAGCATCATTTACCTGCTGTCAGGAAGACAGACACTATATGGTGATTTAGTCTCATAATGAAAACATTGTTGTAGCTTTGAAAAAAAGTTTTGGAATCTAAAGGCACAGTCAATGCACCCAGATCACTTCATTGAGATGTAGTGGTCTGGTTCATTATAGTGATCCTTTAAACAAATTGCAACCAATTAGATGTATAATAAACCCATTTTACGTACTTGCAGCAAAATATTTCTCCATAAATGCTCAATCAAAAAAAAAAAAGTTTAACAGAAATAAAAAATAAAAAGACAAAGAACCCCATTATTACCCTTTGGGGAGATAAGTGCCCAGTTTCCACATGTATGGGTGTGGGTGGAGAAAATCAAACACCATAAAGGAAGTATATCTTACTCTATCTTATGGATGGTGGGTAATATGTCAAGGCTAGGAGATTTCTCGTAGCATGTGGACCAGGGATGCCTGATTCTAACAATCATACTGAATGTAAAGAAAATCCTGTAGTTTTTTATTAATGAAAATGGTTCCCTTTTTTGCATCCTACATGTCTGGCAACATTTTGACCAGAACAAATGGTCTTTATCAGGTATCGGTACAAAACAAAATAATAACGTAGATATCTTTAATGTGTGAAATGTTTTTATTTTAGGCCAAAATAATGTAAAGAAAACAACTGATTTGGAAATGTTTTCCAATTCAGCAATTTGGTCTTAAATTTGCATTCCCTACACATTAATCTTTTTCTAAAGTAAAGGAATACTATAGTGATCGGAATATAAACCTGTATTCTTAATGCTAAAGCGTTCTCCTCACCATTTAGATTAACCGCCACTCCCAAATCTAATTGCAAAAAAAGGATATTACTTTACTTTTTTCCAGAGTCGTGACTAAGTCCATGCAGCCACCTGAATCATCTCCAGCAATATCATGCTGACTTTTCATCTTCTTGTCCAATCCATTGCTGATAATTGAGGACCATTGGGTACTAGAACTGCATGCACAGAAAGTTCCATGCTCCTCCTCTCTATAAGAAGTATTTGAGGAGTTTACCTGTGAGAGCCGAGTATGACTCAGTTCTCGCAGCAGAAGTGCCTTTAGTTGCAATTCCATTAGGGGTTATTAAAAATAAAAAGACTTTCAAGACAACCAATAGAGGTGTGTTTAGACCCTGTCATAAAATGAATTGGTTGGTAGTGAGCATGCGCAAGAAAGCAGGTCTACGGTTGTGGGAATTCCCACGAACATAGACCAGTTAACTAGCGCAGGGAATCCCGCGAATCTATGTTTGGGAAAACTTCCCCGAAAATAGATTAGCTCAATAGCTCAGGGAATCGCTGAAATCTATGTTTGGGGAAACTTCCCCAAAGGGGAATCGCAGAATTTTCCCTGAACATGGACCAGCTCTCCGAAGTGGCGAATCCCTTGAATCCCCACGTTAGAGAGGTGGTTGTAAGTGTGAGCCATCGTAAAACAGGTAGTTTGTAAAGTGAGGACCACCTGAATTGCAATTAAAACATTGCAGCATCTACTGAACAGCAATGTTTTACGTGGCAAAGGCTAAAATGACAGGAGAACTGCTCCCAGGCCACTTCATTAAGATGAATTTATCTAGGTGCCTATAGGTTTCCTTTGAGAAGAACTTGAGTACTTTAGATAATGTCTTATATGTGTAAAAATACAGTGCTCTTTACTGCTTTATGTGCTAAATAAACAAAGAAAATTGTTAATTTGAAATTGAAATCACACATACCCATGTTTATGCCAGGACTTGGTATATTCTGTAAAAAGAAGAAAACAAAACATATGTGGGTCACTTGCCGGAATAATAAAAGCTTGCATATAAACAACACACAATTTCTTCTTTATCCCTTGCACGTAGGGGCCTGGCTTTGGCTTATGAGAAACAAAATCAACCCTGTTTATATGTGGTTCAAAGAGAAGTTAATACTGGAAATGAGATTGCTTTAGTGTAGAGACCCTTTTTGACATTTATAATATAGTATTGTAACAAATTATGCACCCCTTCTTTAGACTCTCCTTTTCAGATGGTCCTTCTCCAATGCACAGAGTATTTATTTTTAATGATGCTACAGTTAACTGTTTGTTGTGAGAAGTTGGCTGGGTCCTGACAAATATAATTTGCTTATTTTAACAATTGGAAACCCACTAAAATAGCTTGGAACTATTTCCCTCAAACCAGGATTTAAAGCGGCACTGTCATGCCGAACCTACCTTTCCTCAATCTCTTCCTCTTCTCCCCCTCTCTCAGGATCTGTTCTTCTTTTCTTCCTGTCTTCTTTAGTTTTCTTTAAAATCATAAGACAAAGTAGGGACTCTTTGCCTTATGGAGGATTCCTGCGCTTGACCAGCTCTGACCAGTGGAGGAGCAAAGTGTGCTTCATTTCCGCTGGTCAGAGCAATTTTCCCATAATTCTTACCTTTCCTCTGTGTTCCCGCGATGCTTCCTGTCATTTTACACAAAACTGCCGAATTGCGTTCTAACTGAATGAAAACAGTATGTTCGTTTCTTTTAGAACTCAATTCGGCATTTTGTTCGGATCGCAATTTAATTCAAATGAATGAAACTCCGATCCTATTCATTGCCGCAGCTGCATCTTGCAGCCGCTTAGTAGATAACTCCCTAATTCCCACTGTATCAGGGAGCTATCTACTAAAAGGCTGAAAGACCTAAATTGGTCTTTCAGACAACTTTACTAATACTAAGTAAAGGTTACTTAGTATTAGTAAATAATATGCCCCTACTCGCTATACTGCAAGTAGTGCATGTCTGGTAAACAGTGAATGACGGGTGAGGACCCTAAAGTAAAATAAGGGGGGAGACCTAATGCCCCCCCCGTCCCCCACCCATGCGCGGTGGGTGGGGGTCATAATGACCCCCAGGCTGCAAACTTTTTAGTGGACATGCCCCTACTCGCGGTTTAGCGAGTAGGGACATTGGGGAGATTTTAATCTCCCTTATGCTATTATGGGGGTCATATTGACCCCCAATAGAGTGATGGGGTACTGGGGGGCTTATGAAGTGGTGGGGAGCACTGCTCCCTGCCGCTTCTATCTTTACATATTACAAGGAGGGAGCTGCGTGCCGGTAGCTCTTCCTTGTAATAAACTGAGCGAACAAACGAACACTGATACTCAGTGTTTGTTTGTTCGGCTGACATTTCTATTCATTCATTCGTCTATCTGATGAATGAATGAATAGATGAAATTCCTGTTCGCATGTCCAGGTGTTTCACTGGGCATGTGCGGGAATCTCACAGTCTGTGTAGTGTGGGCAGATGTCGTGTCCCACAGGGACTTCATCTACCCACACAAAGATGGCGGCGCCCTGAATATAGATCGGGGCAGAAAATAAGGAATACAAAATAGGCAATGTGGGGGGCTTAGGGGCATTTGGGGGTGACTAGGTTGTCAGTTAGAGATAGTGGAGGCAGGAGGGGGGTTAAAAAAAAACAGGATTCGGCATGACAGTGCCGCTTTAAGAACCATTGCTGTAAGGAAACATCAATAGATCTGTGCTTGTATCAGCTTGACCACCAGACAGAGAAGATAAGGGAGAGAGAGGGATAACGTGTATTTATGGTCCTTTTGCTTTTGCAAACAAACATTGAATTGCAAAACAACGTTATTAAGTCAGCTATTTATTGCAAAAGGCATAGTGTAACCATTACTCTCTCAAATAAGGTGACTTACTTTTTGGCAACTCTGAACAGTTTCCATGCATGATACCAACTGCAGACTGGTTCTTGACAGAGAATCTTGTGAGTCTTTCAGGTTTCTTTCTGCCTCATCTTTCTCTATCTTCAACCTACGTTTCTCATCGTTTGCCGCCATTAAATTGGTTTCAGAGGTCTTTTGTACTTTGTCCAACTCATCTGCCTTTAACTTGGAAAGTTCTTCTTTCTCTTGGCCACATTTCTTAAGGTCTTCATTGCTCCGCTGTTTGCTGACTTTCAGGTTGCTGTTCTCTTGCATGGTGGCAATGATGTCCTGCCTCAAACGAGTTAGAGCTTGGTCTATTCTAATGCTGATTTGGTCAGGCAGGGGCCTACACACCCGTAGAATGGTCTCGAGTTGTTGCTGTTGATAATTCAGGCCCAGCGAATCTGGTAAGTGTAATCTGATGGAAGTTTCAAAGCTTTGTTTCAAGTTCTCAAGTTCAATCTTAAACTTATTTTCAATAGTTGTGCAAGAACTCTTGAATAGGTCCATCTGAGCTATTAGATCAGTTTTCTCATTAGTCAACACCTTGGACTGTTGAAGGAATTTTTCTTTTTCAGTTTCAGCTTGATTCATTTTAATACGGACATAACCTACAGTTTTGTTGCAGTCTTCCTTCTGACTTCTTAGGTCTGACATAAGACGATCTTTTTCATTTTGAGCTATTAACTTTTCAACTGTTCCACAGGAGAAACATAAGAATTAGATATAAATATCCTCAATATATTCATCTTTAAATGGCTAAATTACTAGTTTATGCCACAAGACATTTATACACAAGGATAGCAAGCCTGCTTCCACACACATCCATCTTGGACCTAACTTTGAAAATCAAGCCTCCAGGTTGGATCTTCAGACCTCGGAAGGCATTTCATGTTCTAAAGGTTCAAAGATCTACCACTTTCAGGGGAAATATGCTATGATTGCCAACTAAAATATTTTAAATAACATAATATGACCACTAGCTCAGGGCTGTCAGAAAGGTTTTTTTAGCTGTACTATTGGTTCTCAGTTTGTTTCTGAATTGTTCTGGTGAGAAGTAATACTTAACAACTAATCAACATGAAGAGATACGTAAAAGTTGATTCAAGATAACTTCATCCATTGTTTAAGTCAAATAACTGCATCACAACATTAAATTGTGGATAGTACAAGTACAGGTCAGCTTCAAGTACCCATCTATACCTCATCTCATTCTATTTAAAAGTTGATTGAAAAGCCAGCCCTAATGGATCAATTTCTCATTCTTTAACTTTACTTATGGATGAGAACAGACTGTCCTTTCATGGTGGAAGATGCGTAATAATCAATCTTAAATCTCACAGTATTTGCTATGATAAACCAACTCTATTTGGCACAGATTTATCTCATTAATGTCATAGTATCTTACCAATGCAGGAATTGTTCAGCCTGTCAATACGCTCTTTACAGTTTTCACACTTTGGTGGAAGTGTTTGTAGAATCTTTGAACTCAGTGTAGTTAGTTCAATCTGATCAATAGAGAATGAAAACGTCACATGTCCGAGAGATGACTATCATTTTATTTTCTTTACGAAGCATACAAAACAGATTATTAATTAACAATATTAGCAAGTTAGCAACAGTTACCCAGCAGTTATCCTGGCATTTTGTTTGTGTTTCTACTCCTGCTGTGTAGAATTCTAGTTATACAATGCTGTTATTATTTTATTTTTATTTTTTTTAAATAAAATGTACAGGAATAGATTGTTTTAGGAAAAAAGAAAATCATAGATGTGCTCATTCAGATTTAAAATTGGTGTAATAAACTATGCATCTTTTAGACTGTAAGCTTGTATAGGCAGGGCCTTCTACAACTACTGTTCCCATATGTTTATTGAGAATTGTTTGCCTTGTTTTATCTATTGCAGTTGAATACTTTAGCGCTATAAAGATAATTGTAATTATATGGCAAGAAGTAATTTTAAAATGCTATATGTATTTAACTAATACTGTGGAAAAAATAACAAGATGTAAACAATTCAATTGTGTAACTCACATGAAATGTAAATAATACCCCTTTAATGTAGTGTTACAAAAGTACAATTTTGTAATTGCCTTTCTTAGTGAGGTAACTATTCTCAGGAGTGGAGATACATAACTTTTTTGTTTTGACATCTTTGGAGAAACAGTACATATTTATTTTAAGTACCTTTGATAGGTTTTGGTTTCATATATATGCTGTATTTTTCCTCCACATTCAAATCTCTTTCGTTTTGCTAAAAAAGTCTTGCAATTTTCTGCATGTAGCCTTGCCACCCAAACCATGCTCCTCTTTTAACAAAGCCACTTCTTTAACCCCTTAAAGACATGTCATGTGTCCTTAAGGGGTTAAAAGATGTAGTCTGAGTACAGCTTAGCCAATTAGAGATCACCACAAGCTGAGTTGTTCATGTCACTTCTAAGGCACGTGCAAAGATTTTTTTCCACCCTTGACAAAATGGATAGGTCGCCACATTGTGCCCCTTCCTTAGAGTCTTTTTTGGTTAGGTAAACTCAGATTGCATACACTCACACACAGAAGTATATATATTTACACTGAAACGTACAATGTTGGCCACACATTTACATATTCAGGTACATGCATTCACACGTACAGATACATACAGTGACATATTCAAGATTGAACTTAATGGCCTTTTTTCAACCGAAACAGCTATGTAACGACAGCTCTATAATATTTACTCACATACAGATTAATAAACTTTCACAGACACATATACTGACATTTACACACAGATATATGCATTGACATATTTACACACTTAGACACACGCATTGCCATATTTACACAGAGAGATACATATTTCTCTCTTACCTCCCCAACTGCAAGACATAGCTCAGCATGAGAACCAGTTTTACATCAGGACACCTCAGCAGGCAGTCTGTGGAGCTCTGCCCCCCCCAAGTGGGTGACCTTTTTTGCATTATGTAATAGGGACAGTCAATCACAACATTCCATACAGAACAGAATGTAATATGCTCAGGCAGTTAGTATAAAGCGAGAGGAAAACATTCCTTCTATTCTGTATTTTGTGTATGACTTGCATTTACGGGGCGCTGGGCTGGCCAGAAAGATTGTTTGATGCCCCCACAAACTCAAAGAGAAGCAGGGTGCACCTCAGAGATGGAGCCTGACGCAAAGCCTTATGATAGTGCTGGCCCCGATGACTTCAACCCACACCCAATTACTATCCTCTAAGTACCTGCACCTTTTCTACCTAAAACTATTTTTGAAATACTGTAAAGTTAAGAAAGGACAATAACCTGTGGGATGAATGTTGAATCAGCAGCTTAGCTCACAGCAATTTCTTATTTCTCATTGGCTGAGCCAAGCTGTCTACCTTCCAATCAGGAAGATGTTTTGTGCAAAGAGATATAGGTATGCAGAAAACTAAGACATTTTTCTTTTAGAAAAACTAAAGACATTTGAATGTGAAGAAAAACACAGCATAAATACGAGACCAATAAAAAGTGCCCAGAGTGTTCATTTAAAGACCTAAGATAAACACATTCTTATAAATTGTTGACCCACACCAACCCCATAGCAATAGCAGTGGTTCCCAGTTGGCCCCATGGGCTGAGGTGGAGGAAAGAGAACTTGACCTGTATATCTACACCAAGTTATCTGTTTCTTTTATTTTATTAGTGCGTAGCCGCTGGCTACCACAGCAATGCTCTGATTCATTTTTCTGCGCCAGCCGAAAGGAGCTGTCTGCACCCACTAGAGGTGCAGACAAGCTCCATTTCCCACTGGACCACCAGGTATCATGATTCCCCATTCCCTGGCTCAAGCTAAGCCTCAGGTAGGAGGGAAGAAACTTTCTTTCATTTTTGTTTTATTTAAACAGATTTTTAATGCTCCTAAACCCCTGCTGCTAACTCTAGTCCCAACTACAGCCCCTTATCTCTACACTACATCTTCTAACACCCACTTAACCTCCAACCCCCCTTTATTACCCACTACACTTCCAACCCCCACTTCTATCAATAACCTACTGCCATTAACCCTCACTACTGCCTCTTAACCCCCATTACTCCCTCTTATCCCCACTACTCTAATGCCCACTATGGCTCGTAAACACACACTACTGCCGCTATCACCCACTACTGCACCTATCCCTCCACTACAGCCTGTAACCACCACTGCAGCCAGTAAACCCAACTTCTGCCCATATCACTCACTGATACCCATAATTTCCACTACAGCCTCTATCCCCACACTACATGTTCTAATCCATCACTTCAGCTCCTTACCCACACTATAGACCATAATCCACCCCACTACTGCCTCTAATTCCCAGTACCACCCTTGTAAACCACTACAGCCTTTATCCCCAACCAGTCCCTATCACCAACTACAGCACTAATACACATCTATAGCCCATTTATTATTTATTATTATTATTGCCATTTATATAGCGCCAACAGATTCCGTAGCGATTTACAATATTATGAGAGGGGGATTTAACTATAAATAGGACAATTACAAATAAACTTACGGGAACAATAGGTTGAAGAGGACCCTGCTCAAATGAGCTTACATTCTATAGGAGGTTGGGTGTAAAACACATTAGGACAGGAATTTGCAGTCAAATAAGGTGGGCTGCCCTTTAGGAGAGAGCAAGAGACATGTATGTGAGGTAGAAGTTACTCTGGGAGGCCATAAGCTTTCCTAAAGAGATGGGTTTTAAGGCACTTTTTAAAAGATGCAAGACTAGGGGAGAGTCTGATGGAGGTAGGCAGGCTATTCCATAAGAAGGGAGCCGCCCGCGAGAAGTCCTGCAAGTGTGAGTTGGCGGTACGGGTGCGGACAACGGATAGGAGGTAGTCACGGGCAGAGCGTAGAGACCGAGAAGGGACATACCTATGGATCTGTGAGGAGATATAAGAGGGGCTAGAGTTGTTCAGTGCTTTACAGATGTGAATTAGTACCTTGAATTGACTTCTATAGCATACAGGAAGCCAATGTTACCCACTACACTGGCAGAGGGGTGAGATGTGCGAGAAACGATTACAGAGGAAAATCAGTCTGGCAGCAGTGTTCATTACGGACTAAAGCGGTGCAGTACGGCTTTTGGGAAGACCCCCTTTAACTCATTAACATTCCTAAACCCCCCTTATTGCCTCTATCCCTCATAGTGTCCATATCACGCTCTACTGGCCCTATCCCCCACTACCAGCTGTAACCCCCACTTCAAACCTACTGCTCCTAACCCTTTACTACAACCCCTAATCCCCACTACAGCCCCCATCCTTAACTACAGCCCCTCTCTCCTCACTAGTGACCCTATCCCCTAAGTCTCCCACTAGCTATATTGGGATGAGGGGCAGCTAACTTGTATTTCTCTTCAAATTTTCTATTAAATGGAAATTACACTTCTTCACACATGTATTCTTTTCATGTGTATTGTGTCTGCATGACTGACTGTGCATCTGTGTTTTTGAGAGTGCATATCTTTGTGTACATGTGTCACTGAATATGCTCTTGTATATGTTTGTATGACTGTGAATGTATGTATGTTTGTGTGACTGTATGTGTGTTTCTGTCAGTGCATCTTCAGGTATGACTGTACATGTCACTATGTCTGCCATTGTCCGAGGGACTACTTATTAGAGTGAATGAATAAGTGACCAGTTTGTTAACTAGTGAAGCAATCTGGTCCATTGATTTGAACTCCAAAGGGAACTGTCTCCTTAGGGAGAGAGAAAGCTGCTCAATGCGAAGAAAAAAAATATATGTATGTGCATTTGTGTGCAAATTTCAGTCCAAGCTAGTAGCCCTGGACCTAAAATGTTTGAGCCCTGCTTACATTTGTCTGTGAATGTGTCTGCATGTATAGCTGAATATGTATCTGTGAGTGTATGTATGCTTGTGTATGTCTCTGTGAGAGTATATTTATGTGTGTGTATATGTGTATCTGTGAGTATGTGTGCATACATACATATGAAGCACACAAGCACCCAACGTTATAATAGATATTCACACTACATAACATTAAAAAATAACACCCTAATGAAATGGACTGTGCATTCCTATGGTTGTGGCTGCTCAGTGTATATGTAATGAATGTACTATTTTATAAAGCTTCTGACATGACAGATTTTTATACTCATCAAACATAGACAAGCTCAATTCCACATTTAAATCTTATTTACAGAATATGATATACAAGCAGATATTATTCCTATTGACTTTTTTTTCTGTTAGACAAAATCGCCAAACTGTTTTGCCTTAATAAAGCAGAAACCGGACTCAAATATCACTTTCTATTATTACAGCTGAATATGCAAAATGTGTTGCGCTTGATTAACTTTTTAACCTATATGACTAGGCAATTAACAAGGTAATTAACTAAATGCAGAATATCCCGAAGGGGATAACACATTTCACACAAAATTGTTATGACAAAGCGGACATGAACACTGAAATCTAGTTACAGCTCCAGACCACAATGGACTTTGAAATGTAAAGATTTCGTTATCGTGTTTGTTTGTCTAATGGTACCGTCAACACTGCTCTAATAATCAAAATTAATTTAAAAAGCTGTTTGTGGATGAAACCATCTGTAATGTTATCAAACAAAATAAACCAAATATTTCTATCAGAATTCACTTACAATTTTTGCGTTCTTTAAAGCCAGGGTAGAATTCAAGGTGTTCACCTCTCTCTTTTTGAATTCTAACATATTATAGTAAAAATTCCTCTCCTTCTCGAGACGGGAAATGTTAAGGGTCATCTGTTGGATGTGTCTCTCCTGTGTTTTGAGATCTCCCAATAGTTTACTGTTGAGTTTTTCTACATCACTTAGTCTGGCCTCTGTGAAAGCATGAGCATTGCCATAAACCATAAAGAGCACCAGTCCCAAGATGATGAGGAACTGGATGAGGGAAGTGAAGAGGAAAAAGTATTTCAGATAATACCAGCAGTCTTTATTTCTGGACGTTAGCATTTCTTTGGACTCCAGTCCATACTTGGCCATTACATAGCTTTTATCCATGGTTCTTCTGTGACTGTATGCCTGAACCTCTTCTTCAGCTTCTGGTTGAAGCTCTTAATGGCCTGTGATTATTTGGTTCAAAACTCACCTCTGAAATGAGATCTTTAGCTAGTTACTTTCATTAACACAAAGAGTAAAGCCCGAGAGGCTTGGATCTTTATCTAAAAGAATGCTTGGAGCATCATTTTTATCTAGGGCCGTCATACAGGGTGGGGTCAGTAACACAACTGCTTTAACAGTCTGTTTATATTAGTTTCTTGAAATGTTTCCCAAGTCTGGCTCCTTCCTGATAGTCAGGATGCTTTGACTTCCTCGAACATGTAATAACAGCCTAAGAAAACCTCTATTGTTATAATCAGTAATGAACAAGACACATTTTCACACGTAAAACCAGCATTAAGCCACCTACCATTATACTAAGCTTTATTAATTGTTTTATCTGTAAAATCATAATATATGTGTTTTGCTGTATGGATCCATTAGGCAGTTTAGGAATATTTTCAGATACTTCTTAACAGACTGCGGTTGTTTAATGCTATTTCTGCATTGTAGGATATATATTATGGCTTATAGTATATGTATCTAAATTTAGTGGTTAGCTGTAAATTCTGTTAATAAATTAATATGATAACAAATTAGTGAGGACTAGAGGACTATTTGAAAAAGGACTTTGCTATCTCCAACTTCTGTAAGGTTAATGTAATAAAAAGCTTTAAACAAGGTTAAAAGAAGATGGTGATTGTGACAGACCCATCCGTCTTTGGATTACTTCTCTTTCTCCTTGGTTTCATCTGTTTGATCGGTTAATTGCCTGTCCGTACACCCCGTTCGTTTGTTTCCCTAACTCCCCAATGAACTGCCGAACGGCCGGCCACCCAGTGGGGAAGTGTGCTGCTGGTTAACCTCTTGGCCTCATTAGAATGTTGTGGTTAACCGCAGACACCTCATAATTGTATTGTATGCCAACCATGAGGCATCTTGGACGCACGAATGACCAGCGGTGTTCGTCGACTATTTCATGGAACTAAAAACGGACACTATTTCTCACGAACACTGCTGAAGCTGCCGACCTCCCATCTTCTGTCATCCAGCATACGAACGCCGGTCTGTTGGGGACTTTGCTGCACGAATGGACTTAACCCAGATAGCCATCCCATGGAGGCCTTTGTATACCGAAAGACAATGTGAAAGACTTTGGCTCCATGGCAATTGGACTGTGTGTATCAGATCTGAGCACCGTTCTGTAATAATGTGCGCTCAGATCTAAGCTATCTGGGGATACGTTAAATGTGTATAGTGTATTCTGTATTTTTCCTGTTATACATTTTTGTGTGGTTTTACTGTCACATGTAAAATGGCGATTTGCCTCTATCCTCAGAGATAATTGGATTACTTTTCAGCTAAATGGGAGTGTTTATGCCTATGCCACTGTGATTGGCTTCTGTATTCTTATTGTCCCAGTTTTCCACCAGGTCCCCTAGGGGAATGTCCACCTGGTGGAAAGCCTGCATAAATACCAGGCAAGTTGCCCACATTAAATAAGATCTCTGCTTAACCCCCAATATGGAGCTTGGTCTCGTACTTGGGAGGTATTGGATTCGTATGGTTTACTCGTTCGGCTGTTTGGTTTGTGAAGGATTTCGTATGGTTCCTGTTCGGCCAATTGGAGCTTTCGTTAGCTGCTTCTCCATTCGGAAAGGGAACATCCTCAGTGGTATTAACCCCTCATATACTAGTCTGGGTGTACCGTAACAACTGGTGGCAAGTGACGGGATGGTTCTCACAGCCCAGAAGGTCAGCCACACAGGAACATAGACCGATGGAAGTACAGTATGAAAGATTGAAACGCTCTACCCTCAAAGATCTGGGGGAAAGCCGTGGCCAACTGGCCAGTAACCGCAAAAAGAGGGACATCATTGCAGAGCTAGTCGAGATGGATGGAGCTGAAAGAACTGATGGAACCGAAAGAACCAATGTAACCGAGAGGCCCAACATAACCGACCGAACCCCCGAAGAGGCAAGTTTTGATTGGGCGGTTAAGCTAAGGCTGGCGTATTATGGTCCTAACCCGACCGTGGACATTATTGACCGGGTCATAGCCACGGTGGAGGCAAGTTTACTGCAACAAAGAGGTGCTGCAGAAGCCCAAGTCACTGTAATCCCGGCTGAGAAAAAGAAAGTCAATTTTGCTGCATTTAAAAATTTCATGGAAGCAGAAGGGGAAATTGACAGATACCTTGCGGATTTTGAGCGGCAATGTGTGCTACACCGGGTACCCCCAGAGGACTGGGTTACTATTTTGTGTCCGGGAAGCTGTTCGGCCGGGCCAGTGAGGCTTTTCAGGCCATACCAGACGAGGATATTTCTGATTACAGTGTGGTGAAAGAAGCTCTTTTAACCAGGTATGCTGTCACACCGTAGGCATACCGGAGGCGATTCACAGACACCAACAAGCTGCCAGGAGATTCTTATACTGAATGGGCATGACAGGTTCACCACACTGCAGCCCACTGGGTTGCTGGATGTCAATCCATATCTGGGGAAGAAGTGCTCCAGCTATTTCTTTAAGAACACTTCTTTGACAAGCTGTCCCCAGGAGTCAGGGAGTGGGTCCGGGACCGCAAACCATCCACTTTGCCTGAAGCTGCCCGCCTCACAAAGTGGATAGCTCTGTGGCCAAAGTCACCCCCTGAGTGGAATATCAGCCAGCGGCAACCTGTACAGCGCCTGCCTTCCAACCCCTGGTGCACCGCGCTCCAGCACAAACTCCAGCAACCCATTATGCCAAGCAGTCCCGATTCAATTCCCAGGACTATTCTCAACCCATCCGGTGCTATGGGTGTAAGCAACTGGGGCATAAAAAGCCAGAGTGCCCCTTAAACCCGGCCCAGCAGTCGCAATCCTGGAGAAGGCCAGCCGGAGGGAACCAAACTGCCTGCTGCACACTGCATCGAGGAGACAGAATGTTGGGGCATCTTACATGAAGCAGACCCCGTCCAAGCAGCTCACCGAGACAACCGGCAGCAGCACAGACAAACAGTCAAGGTTAATGGGAAGGTAGCCAATTGCTTGCATGATACTGGCGCTACCATGACCTTGCTGCAAAAGAACCTTGGGTCCGAGAGCCAGCATACCGGGGACACTGTAGCAGTAAGGGTAGCAGGGGGCACTGTCTTCCGCCTGCCTGTTGCCCATGTGCATCTGGATTGGGGAGTGGGCTCTGGACATGTGAATGTGGGGGTCATGAAGGATTTACCGGCAGATGTCCTCCTGGGAAATGCATTGGCCCCCCTTGTTTCTGGCTACGCTCCGATGGGTCCCGCTGAAGCTAACCCAGTGACAACCAGTGCCCAGACTCGTGCTGCAGAAACCAGCCCACCTGCTGCTGAGACCCAGGTAATACTCTCTCCCCCGGCATGTACCCTAGACCAGGCCCTCTTAGGTTGGGATACCCCAGAAGCATTTGGGCGGGAAACCCAGGAGGATCCGACTCTGCATAAGTATAGGGCTAAGGCAGATGCTCAGGAAGAGGGGGTAGATGGGGAGCATTATGAGTGGGTAGGTGATAGGTTATATAGGATTCCCAAACCTTCCCAGAAGAATAATGCCCCTTCGCAGAATCGACAGCTGGTGGTGCCAGCCAAATAACGGAAAGAGATTCTGCGGATTGGATATGATGTGCCGTTAGCTGGACATCTAGGGTCCCATCGCACAGCCCATCGGATCACCCAAAATTTCTTCTGGCCCAATTTTAACCAAGCTGTGCGACAATATTGTAGTATGTGTGACACATGTCAACGGGTAGGTAAGCAGGGGCACCCTCCTAATGCTAGACTATTGTCCATGCCCATTAGTGGGGAGCCCTTTTCCCGTATAGCCGTTGACATTGTAGGTTCACTGGCCAGGGCTAGTCCATCCGGGAATAGGTATAGTCTCACAATGTCGCTGGAGATCTGGGTTGGCTGCCCAGTATCCCTGTAGGGCCGGTAGAGAGACCTCGGTCCCATCTGTACCTGCCATCTGGAAGTCATCCCAGGACCAGTCAATGAGGTCTGGTTCTGCTTGTCGGGTAGGTTGGGGCTGCACGAAGCTGAGCAGGTATTGGTAGTCCTGCTCCAGCTCCCACTCCCTTGTTACCAGGTGAGTCATGTCTTTGCTCACCTCGCGTTCGTCAGCCCAGACATACATGCCCATCCGGTAGTCATAGATGTCCCAAAACCTAGACCCCTCCGTGCTGCCAAGATCAATGTCGTCCTCCAAGGCATGCCATAATAAACCCGGGCCATCATAATCATCCCCCTCCGGTAGGTCGTGCTCGGCGCCAAACTGTATGCCACCTAGACCAAAGACCAAAAATAATAATGAATACTGAAAATTAAAAATCCCTATGTCTTATATTATGTCTTATAGTCCAAGGTCCTCCCCCTTTCCACAACAAATCTCTTAATAGAAAAGGCGGTCACTTTATGGTCACTTTCCACAAGGATGTGGCGTCCATAGATATATTGATGAAAATGCTTGCAGCCAAACAGTATGGCAAAAAGTTTTTTTTTCAATTTGTAGTAACTAAATTCACTTTCAGTGAGTGATTCTGATACATATTCGATGGGTCTTCCATTTTGCAGCAATATCCCTAAGTCCAGACTTAGAAGCATCAATTTGTAGTTTTAGTTCTTTTTGAGGGTCAAAATATGTTAACACTGGTCCTGGCTCGTATGTGAGCGGCTCTTTTATTTTGTTAAAAACATTGTCTTGCTGTGCGTCAAAAACAAATGTACTGTACTTCATGTTCAGGTGACGTCAGAAAGGTTGAGTGCATAGATTGAGAGGTGGTTGACCGTGCCTAGTACTGTCTCTAGTTCACCTATACAGGACAATATCTAGTTTGCATGCTTTGCTCACGTTGAACCTGTATCGCCCGAAGACTGAATTGAAAGTAGTGAATTTGGAGGATTCTTCAGTGAGCATAATAGCCCAATATCCAAATCTAGACATGTGCAATTCAGTTCGGTCTGAATGGAAATTTGGATGAATTTTGGACATTCGGATGCTTTTGAATGTCTGAATGTCCGAAGTGTTGAAGTGCCGAATTTTGGAAGTGCCAAAGCGAACCGAAGTGCCAAAGTGCTTTGGACTTCTGAAAAGTGGCAAAATGGGTAGGGGTAGGATTGGGGTTGGGGTAGGGTTAGGAGTAATGGTAGGGTTAGGGTTAGGTTAGAAATAGGGTTAGGAGTTATGGTTAGGGTAGGGATAGGGTTAAGAGTAGGGTTAGGGTACCTGTACCCCTAA